ATTCTATAATCCCATATAATATATATATAATAAAATCACATAAAATTTGTTTCTCTTAAATAAACACACGTTTTGATATAATATATACTAGTACAACACCCGTGTATTACACCAGTGTTTGTTAAAAAATTATTCTTAAATTTTAAAATTAATGTGAAATATGATTTTAAATTTTATTTAGTTTCTTACAAAAAAATATATATTATTATATATTTTAGAATGACAGTTGTTAATTGTGCGACTTACATGTGTTTTATTATAATAATTTTTATAACTTATATCATATAACTACTTGAAATATAAATATATTAATTGATGAATAATTTTATTTTTCTAATTAATATTAAAAAACAATTTTATTATTGTTATAAAGATAAATATTATTTTTTATACACACAATATGGATGTTAAATCGAAGCTCATCAAGAAATGATTAATTTGATTTATTATATATGTGAAACTGATAAAAAATACAAAAAATATGAACTTTTAAAATACATTTACAATTTAATGGTTATAATAAGAAATGATATGAAATGCGATTAATACATGTAACATGACCATAAATAATCAACATATTTATGGATAATTCAGATCTAATTATTTTTGGATTGAAAATAAATTAAAATCTAACCAAGCCTAATATCGAAGCATGTAATTTTGGCCAAATAGGATCCCGAAACATGCGAGTCTTCCACTTAGGCTTAGCACGTTCTGAATTAATATATAAGGGGGATAATCAAATCAGTGTTTTAAATACCGGTGGTTATACCGGTCTAGCCACCGGTACACGGTATTACCGGTCAGACCGGTAATATCGGTGGAAATGCCGGACTAGCAAATATAATAATATATATAATTATCTCTATATATATATATATATAATAAGAATTACCATTTACCAAAAATAAAAAAATAGGACAGAATTTAATGCAATCTATAAATAGTAAGTTTTATTATTTTTCTTATTTTTTTCTTTAAAAATCATACAACATTAAATGCTACCTTAAATTTTGGGTTTTAGTTCATTTTATTATTTAAAAAATCCTGCTAAGATTTATTAAGTGTGTATGTTTTTATTTTTATTTTTTCTTAGAAGCAACAAACAACATTAAAATCTAGGTCTCTATATTTATAAAATCTCAATTCAATATATAAAAAAAGTTTTAGAATCTCGGTCTATATATTTGTGCCTTTAAAAAAATATTGAACGCTAAAAATATTCTTTAAATTGCATAATCAATCAATTAATCTTAATTTTTTTTGAAAATTACTATGTTTATTTTTTCATTAGTATGCATAAATAATTAATTTATCTTTAGATATATAATTATAATCTTAATATACTATGATTTGGTGTATACATTTATTATATGAATCATAAAATATTTTTATTTCATAAAATTAAATATATTTAAAGAAAATATGAAAATTTCTTCGGATCAATCGGATGATTAGGTACTGCCCAAGTTGATTGAAATTACTTTTAGGTGATATTTAAAATAGTCAAAAAACTTGACACAACTTGGTTGGTCCCAGGTGACTATGTTACGTATCAATTCGACCACTGCAAATCGATTATTGAACCTAAATATAAATTTTATACTGAAAATACTTTATTACGTGAATGTGATGTAGTCCAAACTTCAAATAATCGTATTAACAATGCTTCTATGACAACATGTTTCATGATTTATGAATATTTATATATCATTTTATTAATATTTATGTGAATTAAATAATATTTTATTATAATTTTTATTAATGTACAGTAAATATAAGGTTTTCAGAACTGGATTATCAACGAAACGATCAAGCTATTTTATTAAATCATTTGTGGTTTGTTCAGATTTTAATTTATAAACATTTTAATAGGCTATTTGATGATAATCTCAATGAGGATTACAACATATATATACAAGCCAAAGGAGATGTAAGAAATGAAAGCAATCAAAAAACCTAATCTAAGGGATTTACCAAATCACTAATTGATACTATCTAATCTATACCATATTTACGATAACATCCCCCTCAAGCTAGAGCATATATATCAATTATGCCCAGCTTGTTACAAATATTTTTCATTCTTACACCATTTACTGCTTTTGTAAATATGTCCCCTAACTGATCCTCAGACTTGACATATCTTGTAGTTACGAAACCTTCTTCGACCTTATCACGAACAAAGTGGCAATCTATCTCGATGTGTTTGGTCCGTTCATGAAATACAGGATTTGATGCAATGTGATTTGCTGCTTGGTTGTCACACCAAAGTGTTGCTGGGAGAGCAAATTCTAATCCAAGCTCCTTTAGTAACTGATGTATCCATACGACCTTGCATACTGAATCAGCCATCGACCTATACTCTGCTTCGACAACTGAACGAGAAACAACATTCTGCTTCTTGCTTCTCCATGAAACTAGATTGCCTCCCACAAATATACAGTATCCAGAAGTCGATCTTCTATCATGTTTGCAGCCTGCGTAGTCGGCATCACAA